TGAATGCCTGTAATTTACTGAGGAAAAAGGAGCTTAGAGACATTAACTGACCACCTTGAAATCACAGCTAGACCAGCTCAGTCCCAGCAGATAGTTATTCATAGAAAATTATCTGGGCCCTTTCCTGTAGTAGATTTTCCTACCTGCATTCAAGACCCTGCCCATCCAACAACCTCCACATGCAGCTTGTTTCATCTTTCTGATACACAAGTCTGTCCCTATACATTCCCTTGGTTTAAACATTTACTTCATCACCACATTCCCTCTACACTCTTCCTCCTCTTCCTCTGGGACACAGCCTCGCTGTTTTCCAGCACAGCTCCTTCCCTGCTATTGATGCCCCAGCCACTTGGCCACACCAGGGCTCCTGGGCCTGTTTCCAGGCTCACTGCCCACCAAGCTCTCCTCCCACTTGTCTGTGCCTCGCCTTAGACAGCTCTTATACCAGGAAACCTCTCAGACATCCTGTCCTGCCCCTCTGAGGACTCTGTGTCCCACGTCACACTTCCTGATGGTCCCACTGCTCCATTACCTGCCTGCCTCCCTCCCTAGGCCGAGAGCAGCCCAGAGCAGGGACAGAGACATTCACCAAGTGTAGACTTGGCCCAAAGAAGAGGCTCTGGAAATGTGGAGGATGTTGGGGCAGCAATCTCCTCACAGCTTCCTCATCACACACCCTGTACTCAAATCCCAGTTCCAGGTCCCACTCTGCCCACCATTCCTGAGCCTCCACCAACATCCGGGGGAAAAATCACATGGTCATCAACCCAAAGCTACTGGAGATGATGGCGCAAAGCAAGATGAAATGCCATTTCCTCCACCTCCAACCTCAGCGCCCACACTATATTCTCCAAGGATCTGAGTAAATATGGTTAAGAGAGTCACAGATTAGAAGCGAGGGCCAGCAGGGCCAGGGCACCAGAAACAGGAAACTGTAGAAAGATGGGGTAGGGAGAAGGCCCGGGAAAGGAGAGACAGGCTAGGCTAGGCCAGAGGCAAGCTATGTCTTGAGGCAGACACCACCAACCTGCTGCAATCAGGGACATAAAAATACCTGGAAATTATAACCACAGCTTTTAGTTTCCAGAGATTTTTGAAGCCTCTTTCTCTTTGTTTTTCCCCTAAACCAGTTACAATTAGCATGGAGGGATATAATTACGTTGTTAGTCTAATTGCCTGTTTGAAGCAGGATCTACAGGGGTTTAATGGAAGATTTGAAGGGGGGCAGATAAAATAAAAGTCGGGGTAATCACGGAAGAGAAGTGTAACTCTCTGTGACTTTCTTCCCAGGTAGAGATGAGGCCTGAAACAAGCCAGAGGCCAGGGAATTGCTTCTGGTGCCAACTACCAGGCCCGGCCAGGCAGGGAGTGGCGCTACCAGGAGAAACAACTTCACTGGAAATTGATTCTGGAGATGCTGACCTAATTAATAAGGAAACGATCCTAGAAAGGCCCTCAGATTTGGAGCCCTCACACTATTACTGGCAGTGACACACTTACATGTTGGTGTCTAGTATTTTCCCAGATAGAATCAAGGTGATACAGCCTGACAGGGCCGGGCGGTGTGGAGCCCTTTCACTGTGGGAGGAGAGAAGAAGGCACAGGTTCCTGAGGACAGAAGTCAGAGAAAGGCAGTTCAGAGACTGGGGAGAAGAGGAAAATTCTCCTCTAGGGAAAAAGTCTGACTGATAGGCAGTGAGCACCCTGACGACAGAGGCACTTCAGTTGGATGATCCTGCTACTGGGATGCAGAGGAATCTGCTACGGGGATGAACCAAACATCTTTGAGGGACAAATGCCTGTCACTGGAGGGACGCTGGAAGAGAAAAAGGTTCACTTCCCACTGAGGACCATCCCTGCACTTCAGTCCTGCCCTGTCCCATCCTTTGAGTTTTAGGACTTGGGTAGTGACACCCAATCCTTGGTGGGGGCTGCAATGACTGAGAATACTCCTTCTCTAATTGTTTTCATCCAAATACACACAGCAATCTATAATAACCACAGCTGCCTCCATGTGGAAGGAGTAAAGTTCTAACGAAGAAATCAAGAGCCAAGCAATCTCATGGGCAATGACGGCCACCAGCACTCTGGCCCTGCTTTCCTCCACTGCCTCCTACCTCATCACATGGTTTAATCCAGTCACAACATCTGGACTGGAAACCGGGAAGCCTGCATTCCAGCTTTTTCTCTGCCACTGAGTTTCCCTTCCTGGGGAAGGAGGAGAGAACCAACAATCCCACAGCAACCTCCCATGTCCAGAATTAGAAAAGCAGAAGCTGCCCTACCACAGTGGAGAGTACAGAGACAACTGAATCAGTGGGTCAGAACCTGGGCACACCCTGCACCATTAAGAGGGCACAATTTCTCCCATATTACCAGACTCCCATGAGCTTACCCAACACAAGGGGCTCCTGGCACCATGGGTGACACAGTGACACCCAAGTATGTACTGGATGAATGGTACAGAATGGGCTTTTCACGGGCAACTACCAGGTAGGTCTGGTGAAATAACATGTGACCTTTTAACATGCTGATCTGAAGTTTTGATCTGAAAAGTCTCCACTTCGCAGTGGATCAAAGGGGAGGTCTTCCAGGAGCCATCCTGACCCTTCCCATTCCCAGTCATATGCCTGCCTCCTCTGATCTGACAGCACCGAGGCTGTAAGGAGCAGGCAACTCTCTTTAAGGTCCTGACACACTCGAGAGAAGGTGTGAGGACTCGGATTCACAGGCAGAGCCTACTACACAAGTGCCTCGGTGGCAGGAAAGGCAGTCACCATCTTCCAACTGGCTTGTGCCTATAAACAGATCTGTCGGATTCCAAAGCCCTGTGCTTCCTGTGAGAAATCAGATGCACTGTGCTTCCTGCACTTTCCAGTTCTGGGGTTACCCCGGCCAGGGAGGGAGCCAGAGGTCCTCAGTACCGAGGCAGCAACATTCCGCTGCTGCACTGATGAGGATACACTCACTGATATCCAATAAAGATGAAGGGTGGAGGCTGCTCTGTTGCTGAGAGGTCCACAGCATCTCTGGTCACACGGTCTGCCTGGCTCTGTTACCCACTGAGGGAAAACGAGCTGCTATGCTGCCACTGTCTGTCAAGAGTGACAAGATGACAACCACAGGGCATCCATCCTGGACCTCCCCTTCCTTCTCTTTCTCATCCTTCCAGGCCTTCAATGTAAAGAACTTAAAAGTCTGAAGCAGCTGTGGCTTCCTTGGAGGGGGAAGGTGGAGGAAAAGAGTAAACATTTTATTGACAACAAAGCATAACAATAGAGGTGCTGTACTCCTTTCCTTGGCTGAGACAATCGGTGGCTGATTTCACATTCTCAAAGGCTGGGACATCCCGTGCCTGATGGACAGCCTCACATCCAGGCTGTTCAGGCTCAGAGACATGAGGACAGGGCTGGCCTTACGCATCTCCTGATGGCCCAACGCTCAGGTAAAGCACAGCCAGAACTCTCAACTCCGTTTAGTTCAGTGATCACTGGAGGCACGCGGTGGTGGAAATGGAAGGTTCTAGTAGGGATGTGTGTGCCAACCCATGTGCTGGACTTTGGAGATTTGCGTGATAACAAGGAACTTGCCATGCAGGAGGGCCACCACGGTGTCATGGGTCACAAGGGCACTCTATTTCCTGACACCATGGAGCACTCACTGTGGTTCTGTGTGCAGTGAACTAAGGACTTCAGATGCATTGCTGCCTTTAGTATATATAATAAGCTATGGTGTTGGCAATCTGAATCCCCACTGTCCAGGAGAAATGGGGTTACTGGGATTAGTGCAGCATCTTGCTCATGTGGAGCAGCCCAGGTTTGAATCCAGCTCTTTCTGAATACACAATGTCCCCAGACAACCCTAACTAGCCAGAGGAGGGGGAGTCCCTGAAAAGCTCCAGGCCAGATTCTTGGTCAAGACACTAAAACAACATGAGCTTGCTTCCCTGCTCCCACTCCTGAGCGTCTCCTCTGAACTAGGCTGTTTGGGTGTGACTCTGGTGAACAGTGGGCCACTTAGAAGGGGAGAGGGGACACGCTGTCCATGTCACCCTCAAAACTAAATGAGGATTTCAAAACCAGAGAAAGTTGGCAGGAAGCAGGACACCCTGGAATCATCCAAGTCAGAACAGGCTGCAGGGAAGAAAGGGCAGTGAGCACTGCTGGCAGCAGGCACACCCACCAGGCATTCTGCATAGGGAACGCACATCCAGTAAGGGTGACAGGACATCCAGCCACCGCTCCCACTTCTGGGCTCTGAGGACCTATAAGCCCCTGAGATCCACTGCCAGTGCACCATCTCCCACCACACCCCCACAAGGTGTTTCTATCCTCACAACCCCTTTCACGATGGGGAAACTGAGGGACACAGGTCTCCGCCTTGGATACTGATTAACACCACAGCATGCCCCCAACCTCACACTGGTAATTAATTATACATAGGGCCGGGGCTGAGCTCGCCCCTCTAGGTACCCTGTGTGCCATCAGGGGAATGAAGTGGGGGCATCTTGAAGGAGCAAAGGATTATGTGTCTCTGTGAACTCAAAGGAAGTCCCAGGACTCCCACTTCCTTAGAAAACACTTTCTGAACTTGTCACCAATAAATTGTCTGAATCTTTTATCTTAAAGGCTTCTCCCCATTTCACTAATTGCATTCACTGCCTTTTGCACCATAAATTTAATTAACTTGCTATGTGACCTTGGGTTAGGCCTGCCACCGCCCTCCTTCAAACTCAGTTTCCCCTCTCTGTAAAATGAGAGTGAGGCTATAATATCTCACAGCCCTGACAGCTTGAACATCCCAGGATTCCACGATGGGATGAAGCCCTTGACCTTGCTATTCTGGGCTGTCGCAGCTGAGAACTCCCTAGAGTGCCCAGGCCACCTTGCCCTGAATGGCTCTCGGCCTGCCGGTGCCACCGGCTCTCAAGGCCTCATCTCATCCTAGATGAACAGACAGGACTGCCTAACCTGGCCAGGTCCTCTCTGTCCCCAACGGACCTCAAAGCTCCAATCTGCCTCCGGCATGTCAGCAGAGCTGCCAGTCTGTGGGAGCAGGAGAGACTCCAGATCAGGGGCTGGATCCAGAGCGTAAGCGTGAGGCTGAAATTGTAATAATAATAACTGACATTTATATCACGCCTTTCATCCCCAAATCCCAAATTAATTAACTTTTTACGAGACATTTTTAAACTAGTGCCATTTAATAAAATTCTATTAGGAGAAGTCTTTTTTTTCCCCAGCCCTATATTTTTATTAACAGCCACCAAAAATATAATTTACAGGCAACTGAAAGCCAGTCAAGAGAGGGACCCAGAGAGGATGATTCTGCCAATGACAGAGCGGAAGGGCAGCACTGGCTGCAGGGGCTGAGCTTCTGGCCTCCCTCTTCGAGGCCCAGGTCCTCAGGGTCCCCTGGGTCCATTACTCTACAAGAATGACTTTCCGTCCTTCACCATTCATTTCATATTTATTGATCATCTATTTTCTGTAGCTGCTACACTAGCTACTGTGGATAAATCAAGCAAAGGAGCCAGGACCCTTACATTCTTGAAGTGTACAATCTAACTGGGTAAAGAAACATTAAGCAACCATCTCACCAACTGGAACACAATGATCACATGGCAGGTGCTAAAAGGAAGGCTCTTTTCTCTCCCCAAGGACAGCATCAAGGAAGGAAACAGCTGGGCGTGGTGGCACATGCCAGTAATCCCAGCACGCTGGGAGGCTGAGGCAGGAGGACTGCAAGTCTGAGACCAGTCTGGGTAACTTAGTGAAATTCTATTTTAAAATAAAAGTTTTTTAAAGGGCTGGGGATGTAGCTCAGTGTGAAGGCCCTGGGTTTAATTCCCATGGATGTAAAAAAAAAAAAAAAAAAAAAAAAA